CTTTGGCCAGAGAAGATTTTTGCTAGCTCCTCCAAAACAATCTCCTCTATCCGTGCTCTGTCCGTCGCCAGTCTCCCTTGCGTATCTTTGACAGCCGATAGTATTCCTTTCTTCTTCACTGTCCTTCTGACAAGCCTCCAGAACTGCTTGTTAGTCAGAGTCGACCTTGCCTGCAACCTACGTAGCAGTAGCCGCTGGCGAGTCCTCTCCTTGATTTGTAGCCTGAGGGTTACCGCCTCCTGCGTGAGGACTTGTAAAAGTTTCTCTTTTCCTGTCTCAGCCTCACCATTCCCAAAGCCTAGCACAGCTTTTTCATGCTCTAACCGTCTAACCTGTGCCTCTGCAGCAATGCACTGTCTACGCAGGCGTCTCACCGACTTGCACACTGAAACGCGGGTCTTTTGTCCCGGTTTTTGGTTGCAAGAACTTTTTGCTGCTGCTACTAGGGTGTCCTGAAGGAACCGACATTTCTCTCCAGTGTCCATTTGGTTCCAATCTGTCATGGACACCATGGACTCAAAGGCTTCTCTATATGTCTCTCCCGTTGCCTGACATGGGCCAACAATTGGATCCTCTTTATTTCTGTAGGTAGGGAAAATAAAGATAGATTCAGCTCTTTTTTTCATTTGTATTATGAATTAAATTTATTGGATTTAAACTGAAAGCAAAGTATATAAAAAAAAATATATGGTTAATAGTTTTGTCCTAGGTTTGAAGCATTGTGTGTTTATTAATCAATTAGTTTTGTGTAAGGTTTATAGCAAAGTGTGCCCTTGAATTATACAGTTTTGTCCCAGGTTTGAAGCAGTGTGCGTTTAAGATCTAATTAGTGTTGTTCCCAGTTTGTAGCACTGTGTATTCCTGAATTAATTATTTAAGTCCCAGATTTAAACCACTGTATATCCATGAGTTAATTAGGCCTGTCCCAGGTTAGAAACACTTGTTCATGAATTGATAATTTGAAGTACTTTGTGTTCGTTAGGTACATAGTTTTGTTCTAGGTTTGAAGCAGTGTGCGTCCATGAAGGTCAACTTCATGCCCTGACAGAATATGTTGCCGGATGTAACCTGGAGCAACTTCTGGAGGATAAGGTCAAATACTTTTTAAATCCATTAAAGGGGCTGTAAAAGTGATGTCAAGTGACCCTCCAGTGTTAGAGATGGCATGTCAAATTCACAAGGGTGCCCTTGAAAACTTAGTATGTATTTGTTTTTAAAGCCTTTTTTTTCTTGCTTGCGTATATCTTACTTCAGAAACAACGGAAAAATTTTTAGCACTTATCTTAAACATAATTTATCAGATCAAGGCTTCAAGGGTGCCGATGTGAATCAGGCATCTGGCATGCCTCTCTTAGAATTACAACGCTAGTTTATTAAATGCATCTCCGTAATCCCCTCACGAATACATGAACATCTTCATTTCTTAACAAATAAAATTTCAAGAAGAATAGGTTTATAAAATGAAAATGACATTGATGACAATTTTCTTGTTCAAGGAACTTGACAATTATGACAATTTTAATTTATGATATCTTTGCGGAAAGAAAAGAACATTTATGATACTGATTTATAAACAAAGACGACATTTATGATTATTATGAACGGAAGACGATATTCATTATTTTTCTGTCAGGATATTGAATTACCCTGGTCTATCAGAATAGAACTAGCTCTGCATATTGCAAAGGGAATTTTATATCTCAACTCGCAAGGTAAAGTTATTAGAACATTTATTTATAGATTGTTTTGTTGAATGGATGATAAACTAATTGATTGATTGATTGATTGTATTGGTGATTGATTTATTGTTTGTGAGAGATGGATTGTTTGATTTATAAGCTGATCGATTTATTGATTTATTGATTGATTTATTTATAGATTGAATGATTGATTTTTTTTATTGATTTAATGATTGATTGTTAGAGATTTTGATTATTAGAGATATTGATTGATATATTTATTATTTGATATATTGATTATCTGGTTGATAGATTGATGGTTGATGGACTGATTGGTTGGTTAATATATACATTGGTAGGTAGATTGACTGATAGATTAACTGTTTGGGTTAAAGGTTTATTGTATTTGTTGATAGACTGATTGTTTGGCTGATAGATAAATTGCACTGAGGCGGTATAAAGGGATTTACTCAATCCAAGAACGATGGCAAAATATAATAGCATCACTGTAGCATCCAGGTGGCTGCTGCTTCTCGCCTCATTTTTTATCGGAGGGTACACTTTGCCAACCAGTTGATTGGCTAGCCTGCGTTCTAGTACCTACTTTGGTAGAATCCTCCGTAGGAGTAATATCAGGGTGCCGGATTGACTGGGCTTTGTACTCAGTCTGATTGAGCCCTTCACTTCCGATGGCAGTCTGGGGATTCGACATTGGGGATCTACCACGTTTCTTTAATTTAATTTGATTTGTCTGATAAATCAATTGTTTGGTTAATTGATTGATTGTTTGGTTGATAAATTCATGGATTGTAGGATGACTGGTTTTCTGAAGAAAAAATTGATTGATTGGTAAAAAAAGGGTTGTTTTCCAGGGGGTATTTTTTTTTTTTTTTATAATTTTTTCTCCCCCCCCCCCCTCCCCCCTTATGAAAATAATATTTTGTTCGATAATTTTTTTTATGGCTTGTCTTCGCTGAATTGGGAAAAAAAAACTTTTGGGGTTTTTGAATTGTAAATAAATTCGAAATTAGTTTTTAAGTAATTCTTTTTTCCTACAGTGATCTGTAGAGGAATAAGTTGGTTTAGTGTATAATTGTATTGGTAGGTTGTTTGGTTTACTATTTTATAAACTAAGTAGTAGTATGATTCTTTGATGGATTGATTATTTGAGTAACCAATTGATTGATTGATCAATTTATTAAACAATAAGAGATTGATTGTCCCATATAATAATTAGTTAATTTGATAATTGACCAATTCATTGATTTAGGATTTTTCCATCGAGATCTCACGTCGAAAAATATCCTGATTAAGAAGGAGCCCCGTCTGACCGCAATTGTTGGAGATTTTGGGCTTGCTACGAGGATTCCTAAACCCGGTGAACCAAGACTTCATCAGGTATAATCAATCAATCATTAAATCTACCAGTTTATTCACCAACAATATCAAATATCTAATATAAATTAGTACTAAGAAGCAGTGCTTTGGACCTGCAACATTTTGGCTTCCTGGATCAGGATACGCAAAAATATTCGGATCCACGTATCTGAATCCAATGGGCAAAATATCAACCAAAAATTCGGCTCCCCGTCAAAATTAAATGAATCCTAAGCACTGCTAAGAAGGTTTATGAAGTGCTGATTCGCAAAAGCCATTTTGAAGTATTTATGTGTACTGTCAAGAACACACGAGGAATCCCAAAACTATGTCTGTTTGCAATCCTTCCTGATACTGCATCACACTGTCATGAAAATCAAGTTTTTTTATGTTTTTGCTGAATCGTATTGAGCAGTGACTATTTTACTTGTTTTAATTGAACCCTATATCCAAAGATTTCGTCTTTTTGGCTGAGCTAATTTTTGATTTTTGAAATAATTAATCCATATTTATCAAATCATTTTTCAGTATATCAAAAACTATTATCTATAACCCCTGTATTTATTGTGGGTGTGTTGTCTACAAGATAAGAGAAAAGATTATGGATTGTTTATAAACCGTGTATTTAACATCTCTAGGTGGGTTCCCCTTGACTGGATGTGATGTCTATATTACCCCTCTCTTTATGTGTTGTTTATAACCCTTGTATTTAATATCTCTAAGTGGGTTCCCCTGACTNTAGTTGCGCGCCTGTTTATAACCCCTGTATTTATTGTCGCTAGGTGGGTTCCCCCTGACTGGATGTGTTGTCTATACCCCTCCCTGTTTGTGATGTTTATAACCCCTGTATTTATTTTCTCTAGGTGGGATCCCCTTACTGGATGTCCCCTGAATGCTTGAAAGGAGAACACTATGATCAGACAGCGGATATATTTAGCTACGGGATTATACTCTGCGAAATTATTGCTAGGTAAGTTGTTGGTCAGAGGAAGGTTGGTCGGTGGTTAGTTTGTTGCTTGATGGGTGTTGGTTGAAGGTTAGTCACTGGTTAGTTTGCTGCATGGTGGGTGTCGGTTGAAGGTTAGTCATTGGTTAGTTTGTTGCTGGATGGGTGTCGGTGGAAGGTTAGTCAGTGGTTAGTTTGTTGCTTTGTGGGTGTTGGTTGAAGGTTAGTCACTGGTTAGTTTGCTGCATGGTGGGTTTCGGTTGAAGGTTAGTCATTGGTTAGTTTGTTGCTTGGTGGGTGTCGGTGGAAGGTTAGTCAGTGGTTAGTTTGTTGCTTGGTGGGTGTCGGTTGAAGGTTAGTCAGTGGTTAGTTTGTGGCTTGGTGGGTGTCGGTGCAAGGTTAGTCAGTATTTAGTTTGTTGCTTGGTGGGTGTCGGTTGAAGGTTAGTCAGTCGTTAGTTTCTTGTTTGGTGGTGTCTATTGAAGGTTGGTCTGTGGTTAGTTTGTTGCTTGGTGGGTGTCGTTTGAAGTTTAGTCTGTGGTTAGTCTGTGGTTAGTTTGTTGCTAGGTGGGTAAGTTGTTGGAAGGTCAGTCTGTGGTTTAGATTGTTGCTAGGTGGCTTGGACGGTGAAAGGTTAGTCTGTGGTTAGTTTGTTGCTAGGCGGGTAAGTTGTTGGAAGGTCAGTCTGTGGTTTAGATTGTTGCTAGGTGGCTTGGACGGTGAAAGGTTAGTCTGTGGTTAGCTTGATGTGATCTGGGTTGGTCGATGGTTAGCTTATTGATAAGTGTTTTTTGTTTAATTGGTTATTCACTGGATAGTTGGCGGTTTGTTGTTAGATGATTTGGTTAATGGCCTTTAATGGTTTTCATTGTTGATTTATTTTGTTATGTTGATTGCCGATTATTAATTTACTTATGTTGCTGGCGCACGCAAAGATTCAGTCTGCTTAAAAAAGTCTTATCAATTTTCAAGACGGTCGACTTTGAAGTGTCGCAACGCTTTAATTTTACCGCTCTAACTCGCTTTTGCTTTTTAGCCATTTACATGTACATTTTAGCACTATACAGCACTTGTTGTCAGCTTTGGTTTTTAAGAAGTAATTGGCAAAATTCTCATCGATTATTGCTTGAAAGTTTCAGACCTTTAAATCACAGTGCGCATTGTAAGATGAAGGCGGGGTGAGATATACTGGGTTGGTGGATTTTTTTTTTTTGTTTTTGCTTTTACTTGTTTCATCGATTATTCATGGGTTTGATGAAGTGCAATGATTGGATTGAATCATTCACCAATGGATTCATTGTCTTATCATGCATTACATACATTTAGAGTTAACTCTGATCCTGACACCCTGCCTCGTACCCAGAATTTTGGTGTGGACTATATCGCCTTCTCGGAACTCTGTCCTTCAGTCCCACCGGAGTTCCTGAAACTAGCCTTTACTTGTGTTAGTATTGATCCTGCCAGTAGACCTAGGTAAATAATTATTGGATTTTATTTGATTTTAGTTGAGATTAGATGATTCGATATGGTTTTTTATGGTGTGGTTTGATTTAATTTGATTTGATTTGAGTTAATTGCCGGTGATTTTAGTTCATTCGATTTGGTTTGTTATGGTATGGGTTGATTTGATTTGATGTTATTTTAATTTGGATTTTGATTTGATTTTTGCTTAATTTTTGCCTGATTTTGATTTGATTTGATTTTGTTTATAAAGGGTGACTGATTTGGTGAACTCCCTGAAGCAACTGCTGGAGGAACAGAGGCAAGCTGAACGACAATTACGGAATGAAGAACCTCAACACCATAGGTAGGGCCCCTGAGGACTTCCCCCCCCCCTTACCCCTCACCCCTTTCCCTCTATTTACCGGTTGGGGATGGGGTGTATATTTTTCAGAATTAATCCCCCCCCCCCCCCCGGGAAAAAATGGAAAATTGGACATGAAAAATATTTTCCGCTAAAAATCATTTATTCTCTTGTAATTTATGTGTGATTATTTATACCGAATTTTTATCACAGTTTTTCTCCTGCAAACTAAAGAGCAAAATTGTTGAAACATTGTTTTTCCCCTTTTTTTCTGATAATTATTTTGTTTCAGGTTTATTGCACTGAAGAGGTATATGTCTGAAGGTGAAGTTACGGTTAAGAAGTCTCCCAGTGAGAAAGCGAGATTACATAGTATCTACCAGAATTCTACTAGAACAGCTAAGGTATAGTGATTCCCATTTCATGTTAGAGTCTTGTAAAAGTTTGCAACACTCATTAACAATTATCTCTTGATCTTAGGATTTCCAAAACATGGTCTGACTTTTTTGTGCCTTTTAAATCTACCAGAGATGATGATAATTCAAATTTCAATTTGTTAAATAACTTGAAAATAGTATGAATATTCAATTTGTTAAATAACTTGAAAATAGTATGAATATTCAATTTCGTTGTAATACTTTAAGATAGATACTACGAAATTACTCTGACAATACTTTAAAATACATTACACAGACGAAACCTCAGCAGTTAATCAGAAGTGATTGAACTATTCTTAGATATACGATTTCTTTTGTACATTCCCTATGAACACTAATTGTACAGTTAAACCATCCGGTTCTTCTACTACCTACTTCTATGTATTCAATAAATCCTGCCTTTAAAGTTCTACCCAAAACTTACGTAAATAATATTTAGAGTATTGGAATGGAGATGTGTCAACTGGATCCTCATTATACTCCCACCACAGAGTCATCGGTCAACCCATTCGCTACCTTGCCCAGGCTCAGGTTAAACAATTCACATTGCTTCACGCATCTCTTTTTTAACTAAATAGAATATGATTTTAGTCAAAGTTGCCAACAAACAAAATTTTACTTCAATAATTAAGAAACTAAATGTTATTTAAACTAAGGAAGGTTGTAGTTTTTAGAAATTACAACCTAATATTCCGGCCAGAAGTGAACGCGACATTTATATTTACCATGCGCTAATTTTTCTTTATTAGTTGGAAGTAAGATAATTCGCAGCCTACAAACTTTCCAAATTAAATTAAGATATTATTTGCAAATTAATCTAATTTTTTACCCACATCATTTATATTTACCACCGTGCGTTCATATTACATTTCCAGGGAGGGAAGGAAGATAATTGGGAGCACATGGGACCTTTTCTCTTCATGTTTTGAGGTTCCCTCTCCTCGTGTCTCCTCCCCCGTTGAGTGCCCTGGTGCACCGGTACGTAGTTTACCCTCCTCGCCAACAAACACACACCGTGAGCCCCCCTGTCCCCCCTCGAGAACGTCCCCTTGCCCCCCGTCTCTGCAGTCCTCCTGTTTCTCCCCTATCAGGACAAGTGAACCCTCTGGAAGTACTAGTTTACTCAAGAAGATGTACTGTATACGCGGCTGTGTGAGTCAGGTATACATTATGTACTGTACAGTGTACAATGTACGTGGCGGTATTTGTATTTGAAGTTGTCCATTTGTATTATGCACTCTTTGTTTGTCCATTGACTTTAAAAGGTCAAAGACAATTTTTTAAACCCCCTAAAAGTACCATTTAAAAATCGTTTTTCATTCTTTCAAAAATTTAGTGGGTCAAATTTTGAGATAATTTTCAGGATGACTCAGCTCTGGGGTTAAGTTCTAGTCTGCCTCCATTCTCCCTACCCCTGCGGAGATGGGGCTCCGTTGAGTCAGGTTTCTGTTCAACCTCCGATGATTGGTTCTCTGGTCCAATTTCCTCCAGGTATTTTCTTTTTTTGTAACTTTTTTAGTATTTGTACGTTTTCTTTTCACAGTCGATACACACCAACATTCTACCATGTAAGAAAAAAGAGATATGAAATGTTTTTAATTCCTGTTTTTTTATTCCTTTCTTCAGGTCTATCTGTAGTTCCCTTTTGACTGTATCCGACCTAGAAGAGGATTTAAGGGTTGCCTCTGCTTTCCTTACCAAGAAAAGAACTAGTTCAGTCTTTACAGACAGTATTGATGATCTATCTAGTAGATTAGATGATATATCAAATACAGGTAGTCTTTACAGACAGTATTAATGATCTATCTAGTAGACTAGAAAATATATCAAATACAGGTAGTCTTTACAGGCAGTATTCATGACTTTTTTAGTAGACTAAACGATATATCAAATACAGATAGTCTTTACATATAGTATACATGATCTATCTAGTAGACTAGATGATATATCAAATACAGGTAGTCTTTACAGACAGTATTAATGATCTATCTAGTAGACTAGATAATATATCAAATACAGGTAGTCTTTACAGGCAGTATTCATGACTTTTTTACTAGACTAAACGATATATCAAATATATAGTATACATGATCTATCTAGTAGACTAGATGATATATCAAATACAGTTAGTCTTTACAGAGTACAGACCGTATTGGGTATATGTATATTGTATAGTTAACTATAAGATAATTTGAATACAGGTAGTCTTTATTGACAGCATACATGATGACTAGATGATATATCAAATACAGGTAGTCTTTACAGAGTACAGACCGTATTGGGGATATGTATATTGTATAGTTGACTATAAGATAATTTCAATACAGGTAATCTTTATTCACAGTATACATGATGACTAGATGAAATGCCAAATACAGTTTGGAAGAGATGCGGGTCGGAAGCTCTCCCGGAGATCGTAAATCAATTTATAACATGCCATTAGCAGGAGCAGGTTGCCTTCTGGCTCTCGCTCTTACAGCGGATTGAGGGGTTTATGCTTGTTTCTTTTTTCAGATGTTTATTTTTTTATTATTAATAATATTATTGCAGGAAGTCTGGAGTATAGACGGGAAGGATATGAGAAGGATATCCGGGATATTGTGGAATACTTTGAGAGAAACTGTAGAACCAAAGAGAAACCTATATTAGGAGAGAGGTACGGTTATTCAAAAACTCCACTGAGTCCGAATTTGATTAATTTCAGCCGTGTCTTAAATCCGCCAAAAACCTGTTTCAATTGAGCGCCGGCTTAAATCTTGACAAATTGAATTCAATTTTAATGGGAACCAACGATATTTGAGCTGGGTCTCAAATTTAAGCCACGACTCAAGTTCTTCAAATTCGGCCTCGCCGCCTCTGGTTGATGAAATTCTTAAGTATTGCGAAATTCCGAACTTTTTTTAGATTGTACATGATCATCTAACAATGGAATTGAGTATTTGCCACAAACTCTGATTTTCTGAGCCCTATCTTTGCAACTCAATGGCATAGCCTTCACATATTTCAAATTATACTATTTTAAATAATCTAAGATTTTTACCATGAGTTTGAAAAGATAAAGGGATTAGAAAATTTGAGTTTGTGGGAAAGACTCAATTTCTTTTGTCAAAATTGCTGAACGACTTCTCTCTAATTTTGTTTTACAAAAAAAATGTTGGTCATTCGATATTTCTTAAAACAAAATTTTGTAATTTATATTTTTATGTTTAAGGGAGTTAGATCTCAGAACCTCTCCCGAAATCGCAAGGTAGATTTTTACTATGAATTAAAAAAATTTTTTAAATTTTTTTTTATTCAGGTCCCAGAAGATTGAAAGTCTAATAAAACGCGTTGCTGAGAACAAGAATCGCGCTCGACTTCGTCGTCACACACCTGCGCAGAATCTTCAAGTTTGCGATGGGATAGTGAGATCGAAACTGCAATTATTTGACGCCAACCGTCGGCAGCCCCGGGCGCGATTTGAGTCTGGTTTCGTAAAATCGCGCAGAGCAATGTTCGATACTGTTCCCACCAAGCCAGGCCGAAAGCTTGTCAGCGATTTTTTACGCCAACGAGAGACAAAAGTGTCAAAATTGGCGTCCGCCCAATCCCAAGAATTAAGATCCAAACAGATATAAATGCGTCAAATGTTTAATCTTGGTAAAAATGCGGGATAGAAATAAAGTTCAAGTAAGTCAAGCATTCCTGTTACATAAAGTGCAATGTGCAAACATTAATACTATCCTATAATGTATATACAAATTTATGACGTGGGCCCATAAATTGCAATTTAACAGTTTAAACAGTGTAATATCGGGTCGTCCAAAAATAATATTTATTTATTCGTATTTAAAATGAAACATTGATAGAAGAATTTTAAACTGAGCTTTTAAATTTAAATTAACACACACAAAAATCCAAAAAGAAATCCCCTAAAATTCATAATTAATTAACTTTAAACATTGTTACGTTCTCTTCTTATCCTATTAGAAGCTAATTATACACAAGTTCTAATTGCTATACAGGGTACAGGGTAAACCGTGAATATGGTAGATAGGTGACATAAATATCTGTTAGTTTAGTGAATTGTTACAATTACTACTTAAGCGTTATATATATATATTGATTCAATTTTTACTTTAATACTGCTTAACCGTTACACATTTTCATTAAATTGTTATAAATAACTTTTGAGCGTTACACATAATTAAACTGTTACAAATAACTCATACGCGCGTTACACATTTTCAGTGAATTGTTACTAATAACTCTGGAGCGTTACACTTATTTAGCATATAGTTACAAATAACTCATGCGCGTTAAATATTTTAAGTGAATTGTTACAAATTACACATTTTTCTTAAATTGAAAGAAATAATACTACAACGTTGCAAAAATCATACTTTTTAATCTCACAAAATACGTAGATTTTGGTAATATACTTATTTCTATTTTATATCACAAGAATTGATAAAGTTGTCACAATTATTAATGGTTTTTTAAATAATACTCTTGTGCAGCATAATTCATATCATACTCGAAGTTTTATTTCAAGATTTTTTATCAACAATAATTTTCAGATAATAGTAATATCATAGAACACAATATTTGGAACCCTCCTTCCCA